GTGAAATAATTCATGGGCGATCATTATATTATATGTAATCTGTATACCCGCAACAAAGACTGATTGGGTTTCCGATATCCGATCCGGCAATATTTTCTTCAGTCTTTGGCACAAGACCTTAGAGACTATCTTGTAGCCGACGTTACACAAGCTAATGAGGCGGAATTGGGCAATCTCCGTGGGTTTATCTTTCTTTGGGATTAAGCAAATATTGGTGTCATTTAAGCCAGGTGCAATAATTCCATCAAATAAGAATTCATTGACCATACGAGTCAAGTCATCCTTAACGATATCCCAAAATTTCTGGTAAAATAAAGCACTCATACCATCAGGTTCCAGTGTCTTTTCTGGATGCATCGCAAAAAGAGAAAGTTTGATTTCCCATTCTGTGACTGGAGCCACAAGAGATGCATTCATATCATCAGTAATCGTCGCTGAGATGTTTCTCAAGGCCTCATCCAAATTAGATGAGTTAGATGTCTCAAATAAGGAACTAAAGTAACTAGTTGCAACAACAACCAGTCCTTCCTCGTCCTCCAAATTATTTCCTTGCTCATCTTTCAAGCATGTAATCCTATTCTTTGATCTTCTCTTCTTCATGAGGTTATGAAAAAATTGGGAATTCATGTCTCCTTCTCTCAGCCATAATACTCTACTCTTTTGCCTCCAAAATATTTCATCTGCCTTAAGAACATCAGAGAGCTATTTTTGTGCCAATGCCAGCTCCTCTGTGGTCACATTATCATCCAGATACATGGCTTCCACCTTTTCTTTTAATTCTTTGACCTGCTTTTCAGAATTTACATAACTCTATCTCCTCCATTATCTTAGAGCTCTCCTGCAGCACGCAATATGTGCCGAAATATTTGCATCTGATGGGAGATCTGGAGAATTCCATCCATCTTGAATCACTTGCCTTATTTCCTTGCATTCCAGCCATCATTTGTCAAATTTGAATTTCTTCTTTGCATTAAAAGGCTTAACCAGGATGTTTGCAAGGACTAGACGATGATCCGAACCCCAAAGTCTGAAGAAGAGACATGTCAGCAAGCTTCAAAGATGTTGTTGGGAGAATAAAACCTTTCAAAGAACGCATCAAACAAGAAACCCAAGATGAAGATCAATCGAAGCTAATGTTTGTAAAGAATAATACGCAAGGTCGTGGAAGCCATAACAACTCGCGAGGAAGAGGCATAGGTAGGGGTTATGGTGGAAGAGGAAGAGGACGTGGAAGGTCCAATGTTTCTGATAGTCATAACAAAGGAGGAGAAGCTGCGAACAAGACAAAGAAGGACTACTCTAAGGTTAAATACTGGAGATGCGAAAAGATGGGACACTTCATGTCACATTGTCCTACACGACCAAGAGAAGAAACAAACCTAATGGAAACACAAGAAGCAGATGTATTGTATATGCATGAAGTAGTATTCCTCAATGAAGAGAGAGTGTTTCCTAAAAGGTTTGATGAATGCGATGGAAACACGAGTATATGGTATCTTGACAATAGTGCAAGTAACCATATGATAAGAAAGAGAGAGTTCTTCTCAAACCTAGATGAGAGCATCAAAAGAAAAGTCAGATTTGGTGACGGATCAAACGTCGAGATAGTTGGGAAAGGTTCGATCACGTTCATCAGAAAAACATGGGAGAGAAGAAAAATCAAAGACATCTACTACATTCCTAGTCTTAAACACAACATCATAAGTCTTGGACAAGTAACCGAGAAGGGTTGTGAGGTTAACATGAAAGGAGGTTGATAATGCTAAGTGACCCCCGTGGAAGGCTATTAGTACATGTCTCGAGATCACCAAACCGATTGTATAAGACACCAATGGAGATTGCATATTCGAAGTGTCTTCAAATACAAGAAACTGATGTTACATGGACGTGGCATGCGCAGCGCGGACATGTGAACTTTGGATTCATGTAACTATACTCATGTTCCGATGCATACAAGTTTGAAAATATCAAAGGCAGAGGAGGAGCCTGAGATTGATGCAACATCGTATCGAAGCATCATAGGATGCTTAAGGTATCTTCTTCATACTCGACCAGACTTGGCATTATCGGTTGGTGTGTTAAGCAGATATATGCAGAGTCCTAGAGAGAGTCATGGAGAAGCGTTGAAGCATCTGTTGCGATATATAGAGGGCACCACTGAGTATGGTCTCTTCTGCAAACGCGATGGAACAACAGAGATTACAGATTACAGTGACAGCAATCATAACGCATACGTTGATGATGGAAGAAGCACGACAGGGTTTATGTTCTACCTTGGAACATCGCCAATCACATGGACATTGTGTAAACAACCCATAGTAGCACTTTTTTCATGTGAGGCGGAGTTCATGGCCGCTACCAAAGCTGCAAAACAAGCAATATGGTTAAAGGAGTTAATAGCCGAGATCATGAATAAAGAAGACAAGAAGATCGTGCTGAAGATTGACAACAAATCAGCTATTTCTCTCACCAAGAATCTGGTGTTTCATGGGAGAAACAAACACATACTCTCGAAGTACCATTTCATCCGTGAATGTATAGAAGATGATCACATCGAAGTCATGCACATACCAGAAGTTCAAGATATCAACAAGCCCGAGATTCATGTTGGAATTAAGGGGGAGAATGTTGGATAATTCCAATTATTTTAAGAAGAAAGTTAACTTATTAAAGGGGAGTTTAGTAAGTTAAGGAAAAAAAAACATATTGAGCTTATAAATGTTTCCATATTATTATTAGGTTAAGATGTAGCTTCGACCTATATAAGGAGTTGCAAATATATTGCATTCTTTAAGAGATATAAGAGAGTAGATGAAGAGAAACAAGAGAAAAACAATGATTTAGTTTTGAGAGAGTTTCTAAATCTAATAAAAAGTGCTAGTTCTTATGTTTGTGTGTTCTTGCAACTTTAATTGGTATCAAAGTTTGAGTTGAAACTTTGATCTAAACTTTATATCTAACATCTAACGTACGTGAGTCCTTATGCACACTCTCGGTCCGTGGACCTCAGCCTCGTTGGACGTTCGGTAAATTATCGGTCGAAAGAAGTAACTTATTGTTCACTCGTACGTCTTTCCACATTCTTTTTCAGCTAGAGCCACTAGACCGCTAGCATAATCATATAGACAGAAAAATGCATTGTTTAGTCGTTGTGAAATCTCCATATCATGGTATAATTGACAAATCAAATAAGCATTAATATTTATTATATATATAATGAGACAACATAATCCTATAATTGAGATCATCATTTCACGACCATTGTTGGATCTATTCAAATATTGCCTAGAGATTTGGCAACACAAAGTTTCTGTGTCTTTGTACATATCTACATCTGAACAAAGAAGGGTTTGGTTTTCCTTTTCCGAATCAACATCTTAAATTATAAAGTTTCTTTTGTGTTCTATGATATTATATTGCGTGTTGCCTAAACAAATGGAAAACAATGTATACCTTAACTTTCTAAACATCGAGAAAATAATGCCCACGTGATGTGTTTTGTACGATCATTAGAAGAAAAACTAAGCTCGTCTCGGTTCGGAGATCTCATGTTATGTGAATGCAGTGAATGTAAGGCACCTTTCATGGGACCCGCTATCACCAAAAGCCCATGTAGACTGGTTATCCCTTTTCAGTTCTTACAGTTTTCTCCGTCAACTGAGTCAGTGATATTCATTTGCACCCAGACAACACAAATGACGGCAAAAAATATCATATAGAAAAAATAGAGATAAAGCGTTTGAGTAAAAAGGGAAAATGAGGAAATGGGACCCCATCACACTAGATGGATCAAGAAGACACACATAACAAGAACCCAAAACAACTCATGTGGCTTTCTGCTCGAATGTACTGTTAGATTTTCATTCATACCAATGCTGGAGTAAATTGGATGTCATTTTCGCGAGAATCTAAGCAAAATAACACGGTTTTTCACGTTAACTCTTTTCCTCTTTGCTTTTACCAATTATCACAAGTCTGAACCTCTTTCTGAACCTCTTGTCTCTTCTCTCCTTTTCCCCTGAATTCTATATCATTCTTTCCTAAAAGTTTCATTCTTTCCTATAAGTTTAATTATTATAGTCAAAAAAGTTTAATTATTATTATAGTGTTTTTATTTTACAGTAGTTAAATAAATAGGGTTACCGATAACTTCTTCGACCAGCCTCATATGAAACTTGCTTCTTGCTCTATGGCCTTCTAACTTTTTTCCATACAATTATCTATTTTCACATTTTGACTAATTAGCTAAAATACATGTGTCTGTATCATACTCATCGTTTTATACTGGAATATAGTAAAACATCTACTCCCTCCGTTTCAAATTGATCTATATTATAGAAAATCTTTTTGTTTACATTTTCAATGCAAGTAATAATGATTAATAGTAGATTTCAAGAAAATAATTATTTTTATTGAATTTTGATTGGTTATCAATTATAGGAAATAGTTAAACACAAAAAATAATGCACTTATAATCAAAATTTAAGAGGATTTTTTAATATGTGTGATAATTCTAAAACATATATCTTATTGAAACGGATGAAATATAAATTAATAATATTGTGACTACACCAAAACTATATTTTTAATTAATTTATAGAGATGATTATTAATTTATCGACATATACTAATTAATATTGAACCAAAAACTTAATTTGAACTATAAAAATATTTTATTTTATAGAGATTTTTAGTGTATATTAATTTATAGATTATTAATTTAAAGATGTTATATTGTATATAGTATTATTTCAATTTATTTGATTGATGATGTCGATGTTTAGCTGTGATTGATGAATGCGTTATAAGAAGAAAAAATCTATTTGTTATTTTTCTACCACCTTCCCATTTAACGCCATTCATACTTTAAGTTAATGATATGAAATCTGAAGTAATAGGTTAACATTAAAGTTTAAGTTTCAGAATATTTAATCAACAACCTTTTATACTTTGTTGTTGTTCTAGCCTATTAACATGGTTGTAAGCTCGTAATTCAAAGTTAGAAGTTTATTTACATCTTATGCGTGCTTAATCATTGCTATCTAGATTAACAATGAACACTATCTAGTTTTAAAGCTAACTTTGATTTTTGGTACAAATATCCCCACATATATTTTCTCTACAACATATATGTTTGCAAACCACATATTCAGGATATTACAATCTATAAATAAAAAATGATATAACACAATGTATCATTTATATAACTGATATATATTGAAACAAATAATCTTTTTGTTTTTGATGACTGTAGAAAAATAAGGTATGATCATATAATTTAATCAGAATCAACAAAAATTCCATAATCTGATATCTCCTTCCTCAAAGAAATCATCAGCAAGTGGTGTTGTCAAATACGGCAACATGAACTGATCATCACCATCAAAGCAGTTGTACCATGATGATTCAGACAAGGAGACTACTTGTTGGTCATACTGAGACATGGAGACAACATCATAGAGATCTTCAGATTGAGATGAAGAAGGCAATGGAGATGAAGTACAGACGGAGGAGGAAGAAGGATCTGTGTTTGCTGCTGCAGCAGCCACTCTCTGTATGTACTTCGGAGACATGCTAATATTGTTTTTGTTGTCACTATTGTTGGTATTGTAGAGAGAAGATGAGATCTCTGGGAAGTTGAGATTATTAGCTGAAGATCCTTTCAGACAGAGAAGAGCAGCATCGTATGCTCGAGCAGCGGCTTCAGCGGTTGAGTAAGAACCAAGCCAGATCCTTGTCTTTTGATTAGGAGCTCTGATCTCTGAAACCCATGAACCCCAACTTCTCATTCTCACTCCTTTGTACTTCTTGATCAGGTTACTCTTGCTTATGGACGATGATGAAGATGAAGATGAGGATGGAGAAGACATTCGCTTTGTGGCCTTTTGAACAGCTTTCACCATTGATACTAAGTTACTAACTTAAAGGGTATTGTAAATTGAGGAGGAAGTTGGAAGAGACGAATGGTTGGCTTCTATTTATAGATGAGATATGAAGAACAAAAGTGGAAAGAGAATATTTAAAAAAAAAACTATGAACATAGTCAAAGAAAGTAGCATGGGGCACACACATAGAAATGACTCAAATGATCCCTTTTCTTTAAATAACTGTGAGAGACAGGTGTTTTTTAATTTATTTTACAGAAGAATTTAACCTTGATCAGAATCCCATATGCAAGACCCACTCACAGATCACTAATAAGAGAATCTATTTTGTCAATAACGCATATTTATTGATTGGCCTTTAATAATTCTGTAGTGTAACTATTGTTTACCACTAACTTACTATGTACTTCTGAGTCTCAGTAGGTCACAAACTTGAACCCTGCAAAAGCGAATTACATAAAATCAACACTCAATATAAACAAAAACTCAATGATCTATTTCAAGAAACGACAGATAAATTTGTGAACATTGTAAGAGCTAGATACATTGGATTCTATTTTGAGGGGCAACTTCTAGGAGCTAAGAGCATGTGATTTGCCAAGTACAAACAAAATATAAAGTATAAACCTAATTATTTCGATAAATGAGATGCTAAAAAATCACATGATAATAATTTTATAAACTTATAAACAAAATTAGAATCTTGAACGTCAAAGTAGCTGAAGTACATGTTTTATTATCAAGAGGAGAAAACAGCTGGTACATCTCTGTCTTTAATGGGCTTTTAAAACCGCGTTAAACTTCTTTGTGTCCCCTTCTTCCACACGTAAATTCTCTCTGTCAAAAATGACTTTTACTAAAATTAATTATAATTTGATTATTCAGATTCCTTTCCTTTGTCAAATGCACACTGCACACTGCCCATGTAAGTTATTCAATAGGGTATTACAAATAAACTATAGTAAATCGTCAAACCTTAGAATAATCTACACTCTTTTTCTAAACCTATGTGCATTTACAGTTATTAGTCGGCACTAGAATTTAAGACGCGTATCGAGTAATTAAAAACATTAAACTAAACTATTCGTGTTCACGTTCTGCCAGGCTCCTCGCGTGTTGTTTGTATACTAAAGCAGGTGAGTTTTTTTCCAGATACCAAGAAACGAATCAACTGATTTGTTCCTTGAAAAAAGCAGAGAAAAGTGACGACAACGTAAGTATAGAAAATTAACTTCAATTGTTTGTTTATGTTTGCATTTATACTTCCATTTCGTATGAACTTTTAAAAACAAACCCATAATCTTAACTATTATATTCAAGAATAAAATTATCTGAACCTTTTTCAATTAAGTTTAAAAACTATCTTACAATATTTTACAAAAAAAATCTTACGAAATTTTTTATCAAGAATTCTTATATACTTAAAATGTCAATTAAAAATTATACGTTTTTTTTTCTGCTGATTACAGTGGCACCACATTAAGCAAACAATCAGAGTTGAACGTTAAATTATCTGTGTTAAAGTTAGACTTTGCACACACATAAAAATTAGATTTGTATGCGAGAAATTTTATGATGCCCGCATATGAAATGCTATTGGGTTGGATTAGACATGATAAATTATCTTTCTATATATTTGACATAAGCGTTTCAACAGAAACAGACTCAAAAATATGTTGGTTTATTTCTAATAATAAATCGTTCATAACAAAGAAACAAGAAATTGGTTTTACAAATTTATCGAATTAAGCGGCTAGGCTTCAAGGCGATCAAGATGACGATTTCAAGATCTGATCTCTCCTGATGGCGTTCCACTCTTTCGACGACTGAAGCATCTCTGTCAACATCACAAAGAGGACTCTACGGTACTCGTGGTGGCCCATTCGGAGTTCTCCATTCAACGAAGCTTTTTCACTGGAGTTCTCAGCAAGAAACGATCGGGGATTGGCTGTTGTGTTGTTCTGTTTCTTTGATACAAGTTTCCCTTGAAGCTTTATCTCAGTAATCAGAAACGTTCATCGACGTTTTCGAATTACAAGGCCACATTTTAACCTTCCACGACCTACGATCTCACAACGACAACAACAATCATACGCTCCTTGGTGTATTGGGTTCATTACATCATCTGTAACATTGCTTCTGCTATATTCTCGCGATATAGACGTCTGTCTCTGAATGGGATCTGTGGCTCGATTTCACTCCGCTCATCTGGCGGATGTGAAGGGGAAAGGAGTGGTTTATGAGAACGATGATGAACCTATCAAGCTGACGAATCATGACGATGCGAATGTAATACTGGAGTTTCGCCTCTCTTTGATTGGCAAGATCCTAAACCCCAAAAAACAAAAGGTCTATAAGCTTATTCAAACAATGACATCACAATGGGTATGGAGGATAAAATCATTGCAAATTATTTAGAAAATGGGAAGTTACTTCTGAACTTCACCTCTGAGGATGACCTAAACTCTGTTCTTCGACAGGGACCTTTTCATTATAATTTCTGTATGTTTGTGGTGGTTTGATGGGAACCGATTGTACACGATGACTGTCCCTGGGTAATCCCTTTTTGGGTTCAGTTTGTTTGGTTTCCATTGCACCTCTGGACAGACACAAACTTGAGAGATATAGGAGGGAGACTTGGCTATGTCGACAGGATTGAGCTATCTACGGGATGCGTGCTCATAGAGATTGATTCACGCAAGCCTCTAAGGTTCAATCACCTGAAGGGGATGGAGTTACAACCGAAATCAAGTATGACATGTTGTTTAAACATTGCACCATATGTGGATTGTTAACACATGAAAAGGGGTATTGTCCCTCGAGCAACATACACTCTCGTCTTCAGGAACCGGGGGAATGTAAGCATGTCTTTACCCGCATGGTGTTACCTCCGGCGCGACACAAAAATCAGGCCCCGGCCTCACATGCCATTACAATTGAACGTGTTTTCCATAAGGAACGCGATTCTTATATGGACAAGAGGGCGATCCGTGATCATTATTCTAGGGCAAAATCACCATCTAAGTCTCGGGAAGACACACGAGCAAGAGAGAACACAAATGACGTGCCATGAACCGGCTCTGGAAGGATAATAGACGCAGAAAAGATCATTATGATTGGATCTATGCGCGGAGAGGACAGTTCAAGGAGGTTTGGAGGAGCTAGGCATGATGCGGGTCCTTACAGCCGAGGGAAAGATCAGCATTAGAAAGCTAAACCTAATCTTATTGCTCTTGCTTCTGTTAAAGTACATGAAGGGGCTCCATCTGAGATTTCAGCACCACCGCGGGACAAGGAGATATCAGATGCTGGTTTTGAGGATAATGAGTTGCAGCAGCATGATAATAATAGATATCGGAGAAGGCTAGCTAGTAGAATCGTTACTCCAACCGCTGTAGATCATACAATGAAGAGTAGCATAACAATTCGTACTAAAGGTGTTGCGAAAGTAATTTCTTTTTCGCCTTTGCGAGAACAAGAAAATGATGATACGGAACAAATGATTGGTGAACTGAATGACATGGATACAATGGAGCAACAAACATCTTGCTTGATGGAGGTTGAATCCAATGATTCAAATGTTGATGATTTACTTGGTGAGGAGCTCAGCGAGGCTGAAGAGAGTAATATCAAGGCAATAACCGATGTGGACAAAGGCAAAAGAACTGAAAGTAAGCCTTCACGTCAAGTGAGAATTGGTGGTAGACATAATGCTTCTTTGGGCATGTCTAACAAGAAATTCGATATCCTTCGTAGAGGATCTCCTTCAAAACGATCCAAGACAGGATCCAATGAAGATGTAGAAGATGTGAGGCATGGTAATCGCCGATATAGATCCAATAAGGTTGGGGATGTTCACCCAAAAATTGATGGTTCGATGAGGTCCAAAAACTCATCCCATCATCATCCATGAGGAAAATCAATTGGAACTGTCGAGGGCTAGGAAACAACCTCACAGTTCGACGCCTTACGGAGATGTGTCAGAAGCATCACCCATGACTTGTGTTTCTCTCTGAAACGAAGAATAGGAGGCTGCTGTTGCAAGACATTCAGGCCGGCCTAGGATTTGATCGTTTGTTTACCGTTGAGCCACTTGGTCTCAGCGGAGGTTTAGCTTTATTTTTTATGGATGATTTTCAAGTTAATGTTTTATTTTTGAATAACAGAATGATTGACATTGAGGCAGTCATTGATGGAATAAAAGTCTATATGACGTTTGTTTATGGGGATCCTGTAGTAGAACGAAGAGATCTAGTTTGGGAACGCCTTACGCGTTTCTCAAAAACAAGAAATAGACCTTGGTTTATGATAGGTGACTTTAATGAAATTATCTGTCATGAAGAGAAAGAAGGAGGCAGGAAACGCACAGACAGCTCATTCTTGCCTTTTAAGCAAATGCTCAGTGATTGTGGTATGCTGGATTTTCCTTTTACAGGGAACATGCTTTCTTGGGTAGGAAGAAGAACAGGGTGTATTACCGTTAGATGTCGCCTTGATAGGGCTGTTGGCAATGAGGACTGGCATGAGAAGTTTCCTCATTCAAAAGTGCAGTATATGAGGCTTTGGGGTTCGAATCATCGTCCAATCCTAGCTGATATTCTTAAAAAGAAGCCGAGAAGATAAAAAAAAATTCAAATTTGATAAGAGATGGCTTCAAAACGAGGAACTCAGGAAAATTATACTTGAAAGATGGAAATCACCAGATCTCCCACCTGATGCAAGTATTATGGAGCATATTGCAAGTTGCAGGCGACCCTTATGTGATTGGAAAAGGAAACACAATCTGAATTCAGAGAAAAGTGTGGAGGAGTTGAAGAAAAAGGTGGACCAATTATTTTCAAATGATGATGCCACTACAGAGGAGATTGCGGCAGCTTTAAAAGAACTGTCTGACGCTCTTAAGGCGGAGGAGATGTTCTAGAAACAGAAGTGTAGGGTATTCTGGTTAAGGGAAGGAGATAGAAATACTAAAATTTTTCACGCTCTCACGAAGCAGAGAAGAGCGAGGAACATGATTACTCAATTGCTGGATGAACATGGGAGTGTTGTAGAGGATGAGGAAAGACTGGTAGCCATTACTACAAGTTACTTTCGAAACATTTTCCAATCATCAAACCCGGAGGAGATAGAGGATGCACTTTCGGAAGTTACCGCTACAATTACGCCAGAAGATAATGAGAGTCTAACAGCTCTGGTCACGGAGTGGGAGGTTAAGTTGGCTT